CCCACCTCTATTTCCAGCATCTCCAGAAGCCACTTTTGCTTTTACTCATCATTCACTAGCCACTCCTCTCAATTCCTCAAAGGCCTGCCTGGAACACCGTATTCTAGACCCACTCTCTGTGGCCTGCTCCCAGAGCTCAGGCCTCAGGTTATTCTCTAGTTCTGCTTTTTCCTTGCTCCCACCACTTTTTACATATTTATTTCTAATATTTTCCTTCATTTCTTGGATTACTTGTTTTCTGACTGCCCTCTAGAAATATAAGTTCCAAAGGAAAAGGAACTGTATTGAACTCATTCAGGTTTGTCTCTTCAGACCATAGAATGCTTGACACATCAGAAGTTATGTCATCAATATTTGTAGAGTAGATGGATGGAAGGAAGAGGTGGATTAGAGCTCTGGGTGGAGGAGAGTATAGCACATCTGAAGCAAGGAAAGAAAAACAGTACAGCTGTCACAGAGAAAGAAAAGAGCAGAGTTTGGGGATAAGGCAGAGGAAGCTGATAGAAATCCAGTCTTGAAGTCTTTTAGGCCAGCATCTTCACACTCTTACTAGTCGGTCATGAAGTCAATTTAGTGGGCTGGTGCTAAATGAAATAGAACAAAAATCAGAGTACATCATTCTTAGTAAAACTATTATATCACATACATTTTCCATATTTTATTTATATATGTTTGTATATAAATATTTGTATGTTCTATTGTCATGTAAAAAGGTTTTCCTGCTTTGGTTTTTAGGAAATAGGTATGAAAGCCACAGCTGTAGACCATGTTAAGGATTTTGACTTTATAGTAAAGAAATGGGAAATCATTGAAACTCTTTTCCAGAGGATTAGGTTCCAAGATTCCCTTGCAACTGTAGACATTACTCATAGAAAGTGGTATAGCTTTTAGCAATATGTGAGCATGGGGTACAAGGCTGCATGTAATGCCACTCCTGCATTACCTTACAGTGCTTATTGAAGCCAGAAGCTATGCCTTATTCTCCTCTGCATTCCCACTGTCTACTGTACAGTAGGTGAATATCTTGCGTAAAGCCACTGTTTGTGGCCTGAAAGTCTGTAGGTCCCAGCAGATGCTCTGCTGCTCTGCCTCTGTCATTGGCACTATTTTTAAGACAGAAGCTTCTGATGAGAATAACTTCCATAGTCCAGTTTACTTTTTGAGTTTTCACTATCAATACTACCAAGTAAGGAGTTCGTAGAGCCACAAAATTTCATACTACACACGTGGATGGTTCATCATTTGCTCCCTAGCGCATTGCATAGTACATAGGATGTTGTGGGTATTTATTTGTTGAATGATAAATCCACCAAAATTTTTCCAAGTTTCCAGTCACAGCCATGATTATAGCAGACACTACATTTTCAAAGTAAATGTCTAGTTATTAGTGGTCAGTCCCTGTAATCTTGATGGGAAAAGGGAAACTTAAATGCATTGAGTGTCCCTTTTTGGACAGGTGCTTTTCACAGCCGTTAACTCATTCGTCTTCACTCCAACATTTAAGGTCGTGACAGTCACATATATAGGTCTAATGTGAAACTGGAGTTTAAAGCAAGGTCTTTCTGATCCCATATCCAGTGGTGTTTTCACCAAACTCTGCTGCTTCACTGAAGGAATCATGGTTGTTCCTCAGGCCTTGAACCCCTGATAGTAAGCAGTGCCCTGGCCTGGGCCTCTGACTGCATGGGCAGGTCAGCTTCTGGAAAGAGAAGCGGGACCGCAGGGATGACTTCAGACCCAGGCGCTGTATGTGGCCTATTCGGTGCTTGAAGGTAGGATCCAAATTAAGAAATTACTTCACTTCCAAGGGGTAAATAGGAGGGATGTGGAATGTTAGTGAGAAAGAGGCAGGCAGTTTTCATACTATATAACCTAGAAGAACATATTCCACCAGGAGCTCTAGCGTATGGGCACTGTTATGACTTGAGGGCTGATGAAGGTGTGATTGGCGTAAAAACAATAGCCATCCTGGTAGGGTAAGTCATTGCTGATTCTTTTGAACAAGATGTAACAGAAATACCTTAGGACATTCTGATAATGAGAACTGCGAATAGTTAACATCGTATTATCTGATGTAGATATACATTTCTTACATTGCAAATACAAATGCCAATTATTCTATTGTAGCTTTGCTACAATACTTCTTATACTTTTGTGCCTTTAATATGAAATTGACTTAGTTGCAAGAATCCTTGGCCCCTAATCAAAGGCACAGTATAGGAAGGTGGTAAATAAACAATCAAGTTTGTATTATGTTCATATGATGTTTGTCATATGACAGTAACTAGGGGGAAAGAATAAGACAGAAAAGAGAAAACTCATACCAGCATTGATGAACAGAGCAAGGTGATGTAGAAAAACCAGAGAGAAATAAAGACAATGCAATTTATGGATGAATAGAAAATGAACTTTCTTTTACTTGGTTAAAATGCTTTAGGTTAACTGGGCTTAAAAATTGTTTCTCTTGCTTGATATTTATTCACTCACCAAATATGTCTTAATTGACAATGTGTACCTACACAGGAGCGGGGAATATCACAAGGAATAACACACACACAAACCTGCCTTCATGGAGTTTATGTTCTAATTAAGGGAGAAGAGAGAGAGAACAAGGAAAAGTATATGATAGATGTAGATGGCAATAATCAAGAAAGCAGGGTTTCTAGTAAAATAATACAGTCAGGGAAGACTTCACTGGGGAGATGATACCGCACTAAAGATCGGAAAGTGAATGACATTCAGAGACAGAGCCAACCACAGTAACAGAAATGTAATAACTAAGCATATTAGTTATTGGCTGATGTTAAAAACAATTTTTTAGTAGGCTTAAAATAAGCAAATGCAAGACAAAGATTATGGCAATTTACTATAATAAAGTCACACTGATGGCTTGGCCTCATGTTGATTTAAAAAACTGCCTATATTTTCATCCTGATGAAGAAGCACTATGAGAAGATAAAAATAATCGAGGTTTAGAAGCATAAGAAGTGATATACGTGATTAAAGTAAATGTTTTATTTTAAAAATAGCTTCCCCCCCACCCCCAGTCAAAAGAATGATCCTTGATGAGGCAGAATGAAGAAGAGGGATTGTCATTTATATAATTTTTAAGTAGGGGGCTATGGGTGACTTTTACCTTTCTAATAATATATATTTTTAAAGATTTTACTTATTTATTTTTTGACAGAGGGAGAAGGGAGGGAGAGAGAGAGAGAGAAACATTAATGTGTGGTTGCCTCTCATACACCTCCTACTAAGGACCTTGCTCACAACCCAGACATGTGACCTGCCTGGGAATCAAACTGGCAACCCTTTGGTTCACAGGCCGGCACTCAGTCCTCTGAGCCACACCAGCCAAAGCACTTTCTTATAATATTGATTCATATTTTTTTACATTAAAATGATAAAACATCCTGGGTAGAAATAATTTCAAAAGACACATCTGATAAAGGGCTGTTGTTCAAAATATTTTTTAAAAACTCTTAAAACTCAATAAGAAAACAAATTACCTGATTTAAAAAATGAGCTAAAGACTTTAACAGACACCTCACTGAAGAAGACATTACAGATCGCAAATAAACATATGAAAAGATGGTTCACATCATATGTCATCAGGGAATGAAAATTAAAACAGCAATAAGATACCCCTACACACTTACAAAAATGGCCAAAATCTAGAACGTTGACAACATCCAATTTTGGTGAGGATGTAGAGCAACAGAACTCTCATACATTGCTGGTGGAAATGAAAAATGGTACAGCCACTTTGGAAGACAATTTGGCAGTTTTATCTCATAAAACTAAGCACACTCTTATACAATCCAGCAATCCCGCTCCTTGATACTTAGCCAGAGTAACTGAAAACTCTCTTCACACAAAATCTTGCACACAGATGTTTATAACAGTTTTATTCACAATTGCCAACATTTTGGAGCAACCAAGACTCCTTCAGTAGGTGAATGGATACATAAACTGTGGTACCTCCAGAAAGAGAACATTACTGGTAGAAGGAAATGAATTATCCAGCCATACAAAGACATGGCAAAAACTTAAAATGTATATTACTAAGTGAGAGGAGATAATCTGAAAAGGCTATTACAACCATATGACATGCTGGAAAAGATGAAAGTGTGGACACAGGAGAAAGAGGGGAGGTTGCTAGAGATTGGCAGGGGGTGGGGGACAGTGAGGGATGCCTAGGAAGAGCACACAGGATTTTTAGGGCCGTGCACACACTTTTATGATACTGTAATAATGGTTTCATGCCATCATATATGGTCAAAACCTATAGAATATCCTACTCCAAGTGAACCCTAAGGTGTGCTATGGACTTTGAATGATTGTGTTGATGTAGGTTCGTCAGTTGTCACAAATGTATCACTCTGGTGGGGGATGTTGATGATGGAGAAGGGTAGTAATTGTAGAAGAAAATCAAAGGATAGAGAGGGCTTTTTTTCATTAAAATATTTCTTTCTCAACTGCTTCCAAATTAAACTGGTTCCTTAGTATGAGCAAACATTTCTTTTAAAATGTCAGCATTAAAGTTGAAATTCAATATGAATATATTTTTTAAATTCTTAAATAGCTATGGTGAAAAACATCCCCTTCTTATTGTGAATTTGTGTAATACTGACCCAACTGAGATAACTAACAATGGCATGTGGCTTTTTATTTATAAATAGTACAAAAAATTTTAATTTTCCGTAATTTCAATGAACTTCTCATAAAACACTTGGCAAATGCAGAAAACCCTGGAGTTGCTTAATAATCACTCACAGAATAAATTTGAACAAATAAATATAGAAATTAAACAGTACTACCAAAATATGTTTGTCCTTTCCCTAAGTTCTATGTGTAAACCAACATGTATAAACAATTAGGAACTCAGTCTATCTGGTCCCCTTGGGTAGGCTTTTACATCTAAAGGTTCATACCCATCGTCTTTGGAATCTTGGAACTACATCCAAGAGGGAGCGTAACAATGATTGTTTATTTTGTAGGTTTTAACAAAGCCAGAGCGCCAGAGAAGACCTTTGAAGTGTGAAGAGATTTCCTGTAACTGCAACCAAAATGTCATTTATAGATCCTTATCAGCACATTATAGTAAGTCATTTACTGTTTATATATTCCTTCTTGGAGGAAGGCTGGTATACTTCTGTGCATGGGTATTGCTGGTGTTGCTTGTAAAGTAAAACTTTATGACAAACCCTGGATGTTTTTAATGAAGCGCATGTGAACTTAATGTGGTACAAATAGGCTATAATATGTAACTAACCCATTTATTCTTTTTATAGTTATAATAAAACTAACCCATTTATTCTTTTTATTACTGCAAGTGTCCAGAAAATGAGGTACTCAGAGGGGGAAAAATAGCAAAACATCTGCAACAGTATTGAACTTTCATGGAACTATAAAAAAATGTAGTAATCACCTAGCGATTATAAGTCTGCATATCCTTCACATGAATTGGTAAAGAGAAGATAAAAGAACTATTGAGTTGAGGAGTGTATCTTGGTACACATTTTCAGGGTAACTGACTCTGTAAACTTCCCCTGTAGTTAGAGATATTTAAACAAACTTTTCTATGGAGGGTTAACTTTTGCTAAAGAGTAATTCAAATTTTAGGATGTAATTTTTCAAACTCCATTAGAAATATGCATTTTCTCCTGTGATAAAAATTTTTAAAAAGCGGAGGAGAAATGTCTTTGCTGCATTTAATACTAGAGATCTAGTTAGGTCTATAGAGACTAGAAATAGTTTTTATGGATATTTAGGAATAACCCACAGTCCCATTTTTACTTAAAATGAAACACTGTTCTTTAACTCCACATCCCTCTCTAGACACCGTCCTCCTTCTTCCCCTGCTTGGGTTGATGTGTCAGGATTCTTTGCAGATTCTTCCCCTCCGTTCACAGCGTGGATCACTGAAAACCGGTCTCAGCTCTTCCACTTCACAAACAGGTCTCATTAGGGGCCTCTTAGGTGTTGAATCCAGTGGACTCTTTCGTCCGTCCTGCCTGCCGCTGCTCATTCACCAGTTCTTCAAAATCTTCTGTTTTCTTTGGTTCTGTTTCAGATTTCTCACGTTTAGTTTCTTGCTGTTGATTCCTTCTCAGTTTTCTTTGAAAGCTTCTCTGTCTGCTTGACTTTTTAATACTGAAGTATAACATACATAAAGAGAATACATTTTAATTGTTCAGCTTGATGGTTTTTAACATATGTATTCCGCACATGAAACCATCCTCCAGATAAAAATATGCAACGTTATAAGTACCCCCCAAAAGGTGCTCATGTCCCTTCCAGTCAAACCCCACAAAGGTAACCAATATTTGACTTCTATTACTATAGGTAAGTTTTGTCTGTTCTTGACTTTCGTATAGATGTTTGCATTCAACGTTATGTCTGTGAGATTCACCCATGTTGTTGTGAGTAGCAGAATTTTACACTTCTGCATTACCATGTAGTATTTTATTATTTCAATATAATGCAAACTGTTTACTTAGTCCACTGATAACTGCCAGCTCCTCACTGAATGGCAGTGGTGCCTTCGCTCTAAACCAGGCTGTCACATGTGTATATGACTTGAGTTCTCTTCTGTTCTGATAGTCTATTCGTCTGTGTTTGTGCCGGTACCAATCTGTCTTAATTTCTCTAGCTTTGAAATGTGTCTTTACATATGGTAATGGAAATGCTCCAGCTTTTTCTTCTTCAAGGTTTTGTTGACTATTTTCTATCCTCTACATTTCCATATAAATTTTGAACTCAACTTGTCAATTCACACACACACACACACACACACACACACACATATGCACACACACTGCTGTGATTTTTATTAGTACTATCATAAGTCTATAGATTAATTGTGGGGAGATGATGCTATAACAATATTGAATCTTCCAGTTCATTAGCAACTCATGAATCTAATCCAAAACTAATATTACTTAGATCATCTTTAGTTCTCTCAGTAGTGTATTGTAGTTTTCAGTGAGAAACTTCTTGTATCTTTTTATAGATGTATTTTTAAAAGGTTTTATTTATTTTACTTTTTAGAGAAAGGAGAAGGGAGGGAGAAAGGAAGAGAACATCAATGTGTGAGAGATACATTGAGCGGTTGCCTCTTGCACACTCCCAAGAAGGGACCTGGCCCACAACCCAGGGATGTGCCCTGACTGGGAATCAAACTGGCAGTCACAGGCTGGCACTTAATCCACTGAGCCACACCATCCAGGGCTAGATGTATTTCTTGATAGTTGATGTTTTAGTGTCACTGTAAAGGTAATTATAAATTTTATTTTCCAATTAGTTGTTCCATTTATATGAAAATTGACTTTTTGTAGATCTAGTGAACTTATTACATTTCTTTATAAGTCTAGTTATTTGGGGATTCTTTTGGGTTTTTAGCTTATACATTCCTCTTATCTGTTAATAATGCTAGTCTTACTTCTTCCTTTTTAATCTTTAAGTCTTTGTTTTTTCTAGCTTAATTAATTTTTGACTACCTGTTTTAGGTTTAGCCCATTAGTGTACTTTGGAAATGTCATATTTTCATAATTGCTCAATTAAAAATATTTTCTAACTTTTATTGACTTATTCTTTGACACCTGAGTTACTTAGACTTGTGTTTCTTAATTTTCAAGTATTTGGTAAGTTTTTTTAGTTGTTTGTCATTGATTTCTAATCTAATTCCACTGTGTTCAGACAATATACTCTGCATGATTTTGTTTGTAATAGGTTTATGCATGATTATGGCCCAGCATATTGTCTATTTTGGTACATCCTTCATATACAACAATACAATTTTGAAGATATGTTATTAGTGCATATGACTTCTGAATTGTATATATTTCTATTTAATTGATCATCATTATATAGGCCCCCCTTTTTTACCTCTAACAGTGACTTTAACTTTTACTTTGTCTCTTATTTATATAACCCCTTCTAGTTTTTCTGGTTACTATATGCATCCCTTTACATTTAATTTGTATTTTTACTTCTACTTAAAGTGTTGTTCTTGTGAAAAGCAAATAGTGAGTTTAAAAATCAGATAACTATTGTACTCTGAAACAATATCTTACTTACCTTTCACAATTATGATTTTTCTATAGATGAATTTAAACAATGAAAGTATGTTCTTTTCAATTGTTTTTTCCTCTTAAGTTCCTGTATCTTATGTACAGATGAGTTTTTCTCATCCCATCACCTCCAGAGAAGTATGCAAAAGCCACATATCTGTATCACATTTTCTTGACCTTCCCCAGCACTGGAGTTGACACTGAATCAGTATTTCAATTTGTAGCCCCTTTAAATGCAGAGATCCTAAGAGCTTTGCAGGTTTGTTTATTCTTCTTGTTCTTGCTGCACATGTATGAAAAACTGTGTGCTTGTGTGTGTATATATTTTTTTAATGACAACATTCCCTGCTATAGTTTTCACAGAAAGATACTTCTCAAAATATATGCACAAGCACACTCAACACAGAACAATTTTTGTATAAAGAAAAGATGGGGGAAACTAGGCCAGCTAGTTAGTAGTGAACAGTGCCAGATGGGCCAGCACGGTCTGGGCTGCCCCAAGGCACAGAAATTAGACTCATGTTCATACATGTGATGTAGTCACATGTTGGAAAACCCCGAGGGCTAATGTAGCAGATTCAGCCAGCAAGTTCTCTTGCTCCCAGTGGTGCCAGCTTTTAACAGTGTGGTAGAAAAATGGAGCGATAACTATATGGCAGAGTTCAGTTTCCATACATCTAGAGCTGTTGTGAGGTGTTTTCCAATAAAGAATATTTGTGTCTCCAGAACTTACTGAGGTTTTTCTTGGGCCAGGGAGACATCAATTTTACAAGGATAGATCAAGTATAAAACGTTTATAAAAATTTCCATCTTTTTACTCTGAAAATATGAGTCACTTTCCTGGAGTGAAAAAAAAAAATCCACACCTCTTCCCACCATCTAAGAGCCACAGAGGGGCATACTCCACATCCATAGAAACAAGGGCTGTCTTCACATTAGAGACAGCCAGCCACAGGGGTATGCTAGCTTGACCCCTTGCTTAAATACAGGGAACTTTGAAAAATGTCATCCGAAGATGACGGGAAAATTTACCAAAAAAGTACAAAGATACTATTCTAGATTATTACGGTAACAGAGGGGGGAAAAACACTAGGTAAGTAATCAAAGAACCAGTGTTCTTGTGGTAGGTTCAGGCTTTAGCTACGTGCTTGTGGGCACTTACGCTCTGAGTTTTAGCTGCTTCACATGGAAAACAGGGTATGAATGGTACCTGCTGTGTCAGTGTCATGGGGCTTTTATAAAAAAATAGTCACCTGTACAGAAGTAGTCTCTAGAAACTTAATAAGGTAAGATGTTCCCAGGAAATTTCAGAAGATGAGACACAGCTACTGGGAAATCAAAAACATAAAAATGACAGAACTGCCATTAAAACAGCACGGTCCACAAACTAATAATGAAGTTTTATGGCCATAGTAGATTTTTCTGTGACTACTAACAAATTCTAGAAAATTGAGGACGAGAGTGGTTAAGTGATAGTCTTCACACCTTCCCTGATACCAGCCAGCCCTGTCCTAAGACTCTAACCTGGGGCCAAAGTCCGCATATTTCAAGTATGGTCTGCGTTTTTGCTTCTTTACCATGAAAACATAGGTCAGAAATCCCTAGAAAGTCATGAAGTTTACCTTTCAGTTCTTAAATTTCTATTTGGTTCTTTTTAAAATCTTCCCGGCCAAATTTTAACAGTTTCCAGTTCCATACAGTCATACTTGAGCTCGACTTCTATTTCCTTGAACTCAAATGGCTGTTTCATGGATGGGTCTGTTTTTGTGCCCGTTATTAATTGTGCTGGTTTGTTGTCTTGGGGTCATGCCTTCTGATGTCCCTGATTATCTTTGATTTTGCTGAACATGACCATGAAAAATTATCTGCACAAATAATTCTTCAGAGAGATTTTTATTTGCTTCTGTCAGGTTCTTAGGGAAGCTAGCTCTCTGGGATACATGTCACTCCAGTTTTAAGTTAGTTGTTTTCTGGGCTCCCTAGATGGCAGTAAAATGGGCAGCTCCATGGATGGGCTGTTCATACTTA